CACCAGTGACCAGTAGTGGACACCTGGGAAGGAGCGTAAGGAGGAGCCAGCTGTGGAGAGATGTTTCCCAGGTAACTCTCCCACGCTCCAGAAATCTGCAGTCTATGGACTTCCAGAGCTGAAGGAAAGGGGTGTGAGTGTGTGTGTATGCATGCCCATGGAGGGAGATCTCTGATGCATATCCAGAGACACATTTCCACACTCTCTTTTCCTTTTTAAACAGTCTCTTGTGTCAAAGGGTGAAGAAGGTGTGCTTTTTTTTTTTGGGGGGGGGGGGGGGTGTGGGCAGGGAGGGAGGCGCTTGGGCACTTCACAGCTTCTTCCAGGGTAAAGTCTGTTAGATGGAAACATGGGATTCACAGGGCCTTGTCTGCATAAGCAAGTAGTTCTCCCTTCCTATTTACCTCCGGGGCTCCAAAGAGAATCAGCCTGTGAGATGGAAAGGCAAGGAGATAATTATTTTTGGAGTAAGAAGGAAGGAGAGGTAGGGGTTTTTTATCTTTTATCTTAAAAATCCTGCCTTATAACATTTCTCTGCTCACCTTCCATGACCCTGAATGACAGACAGGGTTGGAGGGCTAGATATGGCAAGGGAAATTCAGTGAAGACAGAGCAGACTTCGCCACAAGGAAATTTGAGAACAAGGACTGAAAAAGCAGCCAAGGGTAACTCTGATGTACAAAAATACATTTATTTTCAACAATTTCAAAACCACTGCCTTTTTTACAGTAGAAATATTCAAATGGAACAATAAAACCAAGAACAGTATATATATATGTATATATATGACTCATGCATTTGTATTACTGTATTTAATACAGGTGTTGCAATTGTCTGCCTCATTTAATCCTTTAAAACCATGGTGGTGGTTTGGGTTTAATGCACCGTCCGACATCATCAGAAGGGATGTGAGGATTCTGGTTTGGTTTGTCAGACCTGGAATGTGTGTGGGAATTGATTGAAGGGAAAGGGGGGAGAACAGGACATCTTTGCATGTCCCTGAAACCAAAGCTTAGTCCAGAAGAAAATGCACACTCTCCTGCAGATGCTGTTATTGATGGCAGCTGTAACTGAAAAACTCTGCAGTCCCCAGTTGCTCTAGCCTCATCTCTGATCCTTCCGGGCTTAGTGTTGGGGTTCTCAAGCACAGGTTAAAATAGAGGATCTATTGGGTATTTACATCAGATTGACAGCCATACAGAGCCAAAAGCTGCATCTAGTCTCCAGGTCTCATGCATTATTCCTAAGTTACAGCTAATACGGCAGAATCCATGATGGGGGAAAGGCTGGTAGTGATAGAGGGCACTGACCCAGTCTCTTGCTCTCTCTTTCTTTTCCTCTTTATACACAACTACAGTGTGGGAGCTATTTACATTCTACTCATGGCACTGGCTCTGTCCCCCTTTACTCAGGTAAATAATCATCTACAGCTTCAAGGATTTCCATTACATTTTCCTCAGGGGTAAGACTTGCAGGGGAAAAAAACCCAATGACATCCCCAAGTTGTTATTTCCCAGCATGAGATACACAAATAAAAGTGGCCAATACTCCAATCTGTGCTAACGTCGCAGCTCAGTACCTTCCAAAAAAGCTGGATAGTGCCGGTTGCCCAATTCAAACCTTACAGCGGTCCAATGGATAGATACAGCCCTGGGTACCCCACCAGGATGCAGTAGTTACCCTTCCAGTATCCTAAAGGAGCAGCTTTCAGTCATGAACACAAGCTTTTTTCAGCTGCCATCAGCCATGGTTGTGCCCTAATGCAGCAGGTATGATCTGGCAAATGTGGTCCCACGTACATCCTAGGGAGCTCTTTCCAAATGTGCATGGAGCACACCCTGGTCCAGACAGCAGTGTGACAAACTACCCTGAGAGGCAGTGATACCCACTAAGTCTCATGGAACGTGAAGTTTGAGCCAACTCAAGAATCAGGCAGGGGTTTTTGACATTTAATTTCGGCTCCATGGATTTTGTTTGTTTGCTTTGTAGTGCCTTTAGGATAATTTTGGATTGAAAATGGCTTTCTGGACAGATGTTTCTCCAAAAATTAACTGCATCATTCAGAAACTTCTCAGCCTTCATTGAGGTTAAATTTCTTTTTGAGAACTGAAAATGTTTCCTTTTTTTTCAGCAGCTTACTCCCAATTTTTCCTCCTTGCTTCCTCCAATCTGTTATGAGATATTTAATGGCCATCTTTAAAATTGTAAAGGGAAAAATTGTAAAAAAAATATAAAAAATTGTGAAAAGAAATTGTGAAAACTGTAATCCCCTGCCTTTCTTTTTAAATCAACATGAGATCAATCCCATGAAAAACCTAGAAAACGCCAAACAACAATGAAAATTTTCATTTCATTTCCTGGTTTATAAAAGAAAAAAGTTAATAAGGAAAATAATGAGTATTTCGCATTCAGTCCTCTGCAGCAGCTCACAAAAGCAGTCCCTCAAATCCTAATGAGCAACGAAGACTGAGATCAGCCCACAATTTAGCTCAAGGCCCACAGGACCTTTGTTTGTGTACATCCCTCCCATCTATACCTAAATGGGAAGCTATGGCCTTGTGCTAACAGTGTTATACCAGACTGGGCCATTACTGTAAACTACTTTGGTGTTTCAATAGAACAGAGACAGTAATGCAACAGTTTATGCACATGTGATGGATGGAAACTCAAGGTTAAATAGAGTAACACAGCCATCACTCTCCAGCTTATATTAGGAACTAGAGCAGAAAAGTGAGGGAGGAAACAGAAAAGAATTATTTTTAAATCAACAGAAAAGGCCCACAAGGCTGACTGAAATGGAGGGGCAGAAGAATTGAGAATATTTAGCTTTAGTACTTCACACAAA